ATATATATATATATATATATATATATATATAATGTGTGTATATATATTTATTTATTTATGCGGATCCCCAAGCCCTGGCTTACAGACCTCAGGGTTCCGTGTACCCCAGTTTGAGATCCACTGCCTTAGACTCAGAATACTTCTTTCTGGTTGTCTTATTAGAGCCCAACCGATATGGAAATTTTGATTATCGCCGATACCGATATAGGGAGGGACTGGTTGATGCTGATAACCGATATACTGGCTGATTTTTTTTTTAGCTTTGGCCACCCACAAGAATCTAAGTACCCACTGCCTGCCTGTCTGTCATTACTGGTTCTGCCACTCCTGCAACTCGTGGACGGTCTTCCTACAGATGTAAGACTGTAGAGATTCTCCTGCTGAGAAGTTATGACGTTTGTACTGAAGCCAGAAACAACTGTGTCACTGTCTTCAAAGATATCAGGTTTCTTTTTAGACAATGAGCAAGAAATAATCTTAAAATTAAAGTGGATGCTTGCTGCCAAAAGTGCTTGACTGATGACAGGAACTTGTGCCCCGTGATCTGCCTAAGATAATTATGTAAGTTAGATTTTGTTGTGTAACATGGTAAGTACCTTTTTTCATTCAACCTTTTTTTGTACAGGTTAATCCCACTGAGCCTCGGGGACTCAATTTACAAGAGAGACCTTAAGGCTCCAGTATACTTGCGCGGACCTTTTTCCGCGTGGGCTCGACGTGCACCGTCTGCAGAGGGTTCAGACTTCATACTTGAGCGTCCACCCTGACTGGCTGCAGACCAGCTCTGCAGGCAAGGGGCGTTTACCTTCGAGACAAATTGAGTTTGCCGATTAGTCATTTGCTGACACGCCTACTGGATTGATTGACAGGTCGCAAAAAATAAAAAAAGAACAAGAACTCGCAGCCGCAGCGGTGTTCTGTGTTTATATGTTGTTAATAAAAAGTTCTAAAAACAAAACGGGGAGCACTGGCCATGCAGCCCACACATCAGACCAGCCCACCAGGAACTCTCCAGGCCCTCGCTGGACCTGATTTTAATTTCGTGACAAATTCCTTCATTTCTTTCTATTTCAGTCATGGCGTCAATGGAGGAGGAGGAAGAAGCCTCCTGCCAAAAAAAAAAGGCCATTAAACCAGATCAGGAATGAAGAAGTGAAATTTAATACACTGGTGTCGCATACAAAACAGTCTGTCGCCGGGCAGTTTATTGTGCGACACAGAGTACGCGGTCATAAAAATTGAGCTTTGCACGGACATGCCCTGCGGGCGTCCACTTCGATTCGAATCTGGTATGGACAGACTGTACGCCCGACTATACTGGAGCCTTAAGACTCAGTGAATGCTCCATTCTGGTTGTCTTCCAATTAGAGCTCGACCAATATGTAAACATTGGCTATCGTTGATACTGATATTGGGAGGGGAAGGCTAATGCCGATAACTGATATATTGGCTGATTTTTTTTTTTAGCTTTGTCCACTCCCCAACAATCTAAGTAAGCAGCTACTTTTAAATCTGTTTTAATATTTGAAGTCTTGAAACAGTCTTCCTAATGTGCGGTCACATTTTCTATCCTCCACTATTCACCATAAAGTTATGAAGTGTGTTACAAAAACATAAAGAAACATGCTTCCCTGTTCACTGTTTAAACAATCAGTCATGTATGGTGAAGGCCTCATTAATATTGACTGCAGCTGATTTTTTTTTCTCTTTTCAGAGAAGTAAAGATTTCAGACAAACAATGCATTTCATTGAGGACATCAAAGATCATGTTACTAACACTGATATATTTTACCTCTATGTTAGATTTGTTTTTCTGGCTAAAGTTTTACAAGGATGTCATGAGAAGCATGGCCATGACTTAGAAGTAGTCTGCATGCGCCCTCTTCTGGATACATTGTACAATTATGCCTTTTGCAAGTAAGGACACGGCTTATTCCCAATGTTTATATCGGCATACAATGGGTTAGTTGTCGCCGATAGGTCCCCAAACGCCTATATCAACCTAAAATATTGGTCCTACCGATATATTGGTTTGGCTCTACTTGTTATCCTTCTAGAGGCCCCAACATGGTTTTTACAGCTGTGCTTTTTTGTTAAATGAAACTTGGACAGATTAATTCTATTAAGTGGCTGATATATATGCTGATTTTCATAAATCAGGACAGCCCATTTAAGAAGCAGGTTTGTTCATTCTGTGTTCATAAAGCTTGTTTTGGCTGTTCCCTCTTCGGGGGTTGCCACAGCGAGTCACCCTTTGTCCTCCAACTACCTTCATGTCTTCTTTAACTTCATCAACATCTCCTCTTTGTCTTTTTCTTGGCAGCTGCATTTCTAACATCCTTCTACCAATACACCCACTGTCCATCCTCTGGACATGTCCAAACCTTATCCAACTCCATTCTCTGTTCTAGAATTGCACCGCTCGTGATGGCTGCATGTTGGGAGTAGCTATTATTATTTCAAAGATTTTGCTTTTGGAAACTTTAATTCCTCTTTTTCTGGATGTAAATCACATTTTTTTGGATGACTGTTTCCTCTGGTATTGGATGCTGCGCAGCTGGAAGGATTTTTACTGAAACTTTTTTTTTTTACTTTTGGACATTTGTTATGATGTGTAACCATAACAACAAGCTCTTTTTAACAACCAGGAGCAGCTGATCAACATCTCAAAAGTTCAAATAATATCTCAGCTACAGCCTCAAATCTCAAATGAGTTGAAAAGGAGGCGCCGTAGATGCATTCCCGTCTCCCTGCCGGTTGTGCTCAAGTGCCTGACTGCTGAAATCCTGGAACTGGCAGGAAACATGGCTCGTGACAGCAGAAGGACTGGGATCATCCCCCAGCATCTGCAGCCAGCTGTCCGCAGCGACGAGGAGCTTGGCAGGGTGCTGGGAGGAGTTCTGCCCAACATTTGGGTGGTCCTGCAGCCCGGGGTAACTGAGGCCAGCCGAGTCTGGGTAGACAGATTGGACGGCATCTGCAGCCAGTTTCTTAAGATCCGCTGTGGGACGGACTTTTACGAGACATCCTTCCTGCCTACAGGCATCAGCATCTATAACAGCTCTTAATGAAACAAGGATAACGAGTTACAACATTTAATTTCCCTTTGGGATTAATAAAGTATTTTTTATTGAATTGAACTGAACCTCTAACTTTGTCTCCCAGTTCAATCTGTGCTGTACCTCTGATGATCTCATTCCTCATCTTATCCATCCTTGTCACTCCTAAGGACCACAACATCTTCATTTCTGCCACCTCCAGGTCTTTGTCCTGTCTTTTTGTCAGTGTCACTCTTCAGACTATACAACATAGCTGGTCTCACCGCTGTCTCGTAAACCTTTGCTGCCACCCTTTTGTCACAAACCACATCTGAATATTTTCCACACTTTATATTCTACTAAAGATGAAACAACAGTTGTGTGTAGGGAGGGGCGTTTTAAGAAAAAGCATTGTTTATTTTTGCTTGTAATTATCAAGTGTTTCTTGAGCTATGATATATAGTTTAGTTAAGATCTAAACGTATCATTTTCCCTGCTAAATACAACCGTGTTCTTTTAAAAGTTAGCATAATGTTCTGGTCAACTTCTTTTAATTAAGTAATTAGCACTCCAGCTGTAAAATGGTATCTCAAACCCCTCTGGTTTCACGGACTGCTAGGCTGGCCGATTTAATTTGGACTAAACCGTTGGTTGAATTGAAGTTTGTCTATTATATTTTTTCTGATTCTTTCTAAAATATGAAAAGACGCTGAGAACTTGGCGCACGCTCAGAAAGCAGGAATTTCTTTGGCAGTATGAAGTAACGCAGGAGTCGGGCGTTGTGATTCATAAAACTTTTTGCACTCGATGACTTTGTCCGAGCAACCCC